ATGAACGGTGACATAATTTCGTGTATTAGTTGAAGTTAGACATTAACACCATTAGATACCGGATCAGTGATCTAGAGGTGACGTATTCGTGTGCAAGACTGAAAGCCCTGCATTCGAACCCGGCGATCAGAATCATGGATAAACACTATTCAGAAGTCTCATACTAGGACGAAATGGTTGTCTAATACTTTCAAGTTTTCTTATAATAGTCTATCTTCAACGAATTCATGAATTCAATGATTAAACTACTATAAGATATATTTATAATTGTCATGGTAAACTCATTAAAACTACATTAAATCACTGGAATACATTGCTCATTTTAAAAAAAAAGAAGAGAAAGAGAAAGAGAGAAAGGTTAATACACTTTGAATCAATCAATAAAATTTGTCAAAAAAAAATTATTTGCTTAAAAATTACACTAATTATTTGGCATAAAGCCAAATGTATCATTTTTGATGTAAATGATTATTTCATTTATATTCAACTGACTTGTTAATCTAATACACAAGTAAGTGTATGTGTGTGTGTGTGTGAGTGTTTGTACACAAATGAATACAGTTGAGATATATAATAATTAAAAGGATTCATATTTTATCATAGTGATATATATATATATATATATATGTTTACTGCCATCTTTATCAAGTCATCATTATTCAATATATCAGAAGGAGTATTGTAGTGATTACAGTAATTTGAATAGTTAAGTCCTATTCACTGCCTTCTCATGGCGGAGGTGTTGTCTACGAACATGGAGAAGTTACCTAGGGGAGTTGGGAAATCTTCATTCCAAACCAATGGCTCACATGGATTCCAGGATTTTGAAGGAACGATTGAAGTATAGACCAATCATTGTTCATCGGATACCGCGGGACTGCATCTTCTTACGATGCTCCACTGCCTTGTGAATTAGACCTTTAGGTTGAAGGTTCCGAGTGTGGCCCTCTAAGAAAACTAACTGCTTCTGTCTGCTCACTCGGACAGTATTACAGCCCTCACTCATATCAAATGAGATTTGTGTGGCGCATATACATATGGTGCTCCCCCCCTTGTACCAATATTTGTGTGTTCATATAAATAAATAAAATAGGTTAAGATCATGAGTCAATTGAAGTTGAGGAGTCTCACAATAGGATGAAATGGATGTCCAATGCTTCAAGGTTTTCCATGATGATCTAATTTTAATTGACTCATGATCTTAAGTAATGACATTATTCATTGTGTTTAAACTAGAAAACGGTATATTGGCATAACAGATCGACAACGTTTTTTCAATATTGTAATAAGAATACGAAGATAATTGAAACTACATGATGGGCTATTAGCGCAGGCTATCTGAATCACCTCTGAATGGTAAAGTGATGCAGACAGGCTTTTTTTCCTATCAAGGCTACAGTAGTTATCACTGTACCATGGATTTTTCATCTATTTATGAATTTTAGAAGATAGTCATTCTCCATTATTGTTTTATGTAGCAACTTATCATCACCATCAATTGCGTCATTTGTACAAATACGATCATTTTAATTCCGATATATGGATGATACATTTATCCTTTGTAACAACCATACAGACATCATAGTGATTCAATACAGTTCATCCGCCTATAAAATTCATATGTGAGAAAAGAAATCGGGGTAGAATTTACTATTTTTTGCAATTTAGAAGACTCTCCCGGTCCCCCACATTGTACGAGCATTGCATGTACCTAAATAAATGGTTACTCTGGTTGTTAGAATGGACATCGGCATCGTGACTTCCGAAGGATTTCGACTTTCCCCATGAGACGTGATAACTCTTTCAAATCAAGGCCTTTCTCCTAGGGCAAAGTTTAAGTGGTTTGAGTAATTGTTTCTGGTTAGCGTTTTTTTAGAGAGTTCGTTTTCTACGGAATGTGGTCGCTAACCACATGCCCAACCCTCCTTCTTTATCAGAATTTGTGACCGGCAGTATCCTCAGAGGAGCTCCAGGCGGAGTTAGAACTTACTATGCATTTAATAAAATTGACACATTGATAATTGACATAATTTGTGCCGATCAATTGCATAACCTATGCAAGTGCTTTTCTGAAAAGTGTACAACCTTTCGTTGTACAAATTAGGAAAGAGCTCAATTAGAGAGATCGTGGTCGCTCACAATATACATTGAAAACAATGAACACAATTCACATGTCAACTCCTGAACTGTTAATATCTAACTATGTCATAAACAACTTATTCGATTAACATACAATCTTACTGATTATTACTGACTATTGTTTTATGACACTTTTTATACACCTAATTTGATCCTTGTAGTCCACCGGGGTGCTTGTTACCTGTGCGGTTGCGCAACAGAATTGACTTGTACTATTCAGATTGTAGCGTTAAAAACTATATGGTATCTGGTTGTCCTGTGAAGTAAGATTTAGCTGTACTGCTCAGGTTAAGCCTGGATGGTGTCTAGCTCTCCTGTTAAACGGGATTGAGCTATACTGTATGGGTTGTCAAGTGAAAGACTAGATGGTGTCTAGTTCTCCTGAAAACAAACGTAGCATTACCCTGGCCCACAAGAGTATATGATATATAAATATGATCTCTGATCATCAAATGTTCATTAGTTCTGTTTAATTAACTAAACAATTTTCTATAGATCTACTTAATTACTAAACTTCTGATATTGACTGTGTTGTTTGAGACAATAGGATCAACATTATTATGTCATCTAATTCATAGAAACTAAGACAAACACAATTTTCTTTATAAACCTATGATTCTTCTTTACCATTTTTACATGAACTGTTTTAGATAAGCACCCGTTACAGAGTAGACGTGCACTAACGATGAGTACCATACTATAACGAAACAGTCATCCAATTCTTACAGATTTTTAGTGCTGATCTAACATTGATCGGTTCATGATTTCCATATAGTTCAACAACCTTTACACCTCTTTACTGATAATCATCAATTGTAATCAGTTTTTCTTTTCAACAAATATAAGAATCCATCGGTCTCACACGGCAACGTTTAACCTCTAGACCACTGAGCCAGTATCTAACGGTGTTAATATCTAACTTCAACTAATCTAAGACATTGAGCGACGCATTCACCATTGTCTTCATTGAGTTACTATCTCAATTGACTCAACTGCTCTCAATTATTAAAATTACCATAATATTCACAAAACCTTTACTGATATTTAAATAATGATTCACTGTATAATTACAAATATGTAACCTGTTACGATTGATCACCTTTGTTTTCTTTTATTAATTCTTCAATAGTTTTATTCCCATAACCAAAATCAACTGAAAACAAAAATTACATTAACAAGAATAGATTTTTGGAAATCACTAGCAGAAGATTTAGGTATAAGAATTTATGTAGTGATGCTGGTTGGAGGCCTACATTCCTTTGTGAGGGGTAACGGGCATGGGGAGTAGTAGTAGCAGTAGTAGTTATGTAATGAACGAAAAAACAAATAGGGACAGTCGAATGTATTTGAACACAGGATTCGATAACATCTTAGTAAAATAGGAGAACCATATGGTAAATACTTCATTTGCATAATGTCAATCAATTGTCTCAGACTTCATCGTTCTTTCGTTTCAACACCAGTCTTTCTCTATTCTCTTTCTTATTTCTTCGATCTTCTTAACCTTCTGATGTTAGGTATTTCACTTTCGACTGATGATGCATACTACTTATATCAGTACTATTGATATCAGTAGCATACAAAATAGTTATGTTGGATCGATGTAACAACAAATACACAAAAATAGTTAAACCCACTACTTATGGACATATTTTTTACTACACTGGACGGTTTTACAGTTTTGTAGGGATTGATTCAAAGAGATATGTAAGTCAGTGTCAATGTGAAAATATAAGTTGTAATTGAATTTACTGTTCGGTTAATAAAAGTCAACAATCGGTATTTTGAAAATGATGATTAGTATAATTAAATATTTACATGATGTTTGTTGCAGTATGTCTGTGTGATTGACGTGGTTGTGTTTAGTGAATGAAAATGAAATCATTGAGTGATAACTTTTTTCATTACTTTGTTAAATTGTTTGCCCAATCCATCTCAGTATTTACTGTCAAATGCCATGGTACGGCCGACGGTCGGGGGAGTCAGCTCTCCCTCTCCAAGTGATCTTACATGGCCACATGCATACAACCACTGCCATCGACTGGGATGGTTAATGGACACGCAGCGTCCACCTAGGAAAGTTGGAAAAATCTGATTCTAAACTAATAGTGAACATGGTCTTCAGGATCCTGAAGAAAGAAATGGCATATGAACGAATTATTGGTCACCGGCTACCGCGAGTTTTCATCTCCTTACATTTCTCCACTGTGTTGTGGATTAAACCTGAAGGTTAAAGGATGAGGATGTGTTCACCTAGGAAAACCGCCTGCTCCTGTCACAGCACCCGGGTAGTATCACAATCCATTCATAAATCTCAATGGTTCACTTATATTCCCCATAAGTTCCGAACTACGAATTTGTGATGATATATAACGTGCGTGATTAATGTTCTTTCACAAATCCACCCATCAAATGTTTCAGATATTGAATTAAACATCCAGCTGACGAGTCCCAAACAGGACGAAGAGCGCGTCCTGGATCCCACTGCTAACCACTATCCATCTTAACATTTAAATAACTTTGTATCTTGAATGTTTTCTTCTACTCTATCAATATCAATTATATAACCACACATAAAGAGCATTTTCATTAGTCTGTTATGTACATTTATTTATTTAAATATATGAATATTGTTACAAGTAGGCACTATATACATATGAGTCACATAAATCTAATGATTAATGTGAGGGCTGGGATACTTCCTAGCTGCTCAAACTGAAGCAGGTTGTTTTCTTAGGGGGCCACGCCACAAGGGTTCGACTTAAACGTTTAATCCACAGTACAGTGGAGCAACTTTAGAAGATGCAATCTCACGGTAACCGGTAACCAACGATAAGTTCATTTGCCATTTGTTTCCTTAGGATCTTGGAACCCATGTGCACTTTCGGTTTTCCAATTCAACTGGATGGATCCTCCATATTCACCAACCCGGATAAGGAGCCAGACATTCGCTTTTCGTCCTCTCACTTTCGTAAACAACACCCTGGCCATAAGAGAGGAGTAAGTAAGATGTCGCAGGCAGTGGTTGCAGTTACAATGACAAACGTAAGTGAATTACATAATTAATATTTATGCCGGATACTATCAGCAACGGCCTTCTGTATCAGATGGCAAACCAAATTGCAGCTGATAAGGAGAATAGGAAAAGACGATGGAAATGGATAGGAAGTACGTTACGGAAAACACCAAACTGTATCACGAGGCAAGTCGGAACTTAGGACCCTGAAGAGAAGCGGCAAAGTGGAAGGTTAAAGAACACATTACGACGGGAAATAGAAGCAGATACAGAAAGGATGATTAGCAGTTGTACAGATCTGAAAAAGATTGGTCAGAACAGAGTTTGAATAAGAAGACAAATGGGAGATCTGTCCTAATCTACGAGGAGTAACAGACGTAAGTATGTAAGTTATGTATACCAGACTGTTTTCAGATCAAAGACTTGATAAGATCAATTCGCTTGTTTGATAAAATGGATCTGTTATGAAATTTCTATTCTGTTTTATTATTATGATCTAAATATTTTTTGTACTTTCTCTTTTGTTTGTTAACATACCATCAAAATGGAACCATTTTCATCTGATTTCTGATTTCCATTTTGATGTTATCAAGTTAACTATTTTCGCTTAATGAAACATAATAATTAACAGAAGTAGAGTTTCAAAACAGACTTCTGAAGACAATACTCTATTGAAATTACTTCAGTCAAACTTACTTTTATATCCACAAAACCCATCTGATGAATATTTATTTATTTTAATTATTTATTTGAGCACTCGATTGATGATACATACTACTTATATCTGTCGACATCAGTAACGCACAATACAATATGAATAACTGATTACATTTGTAGCATTTATTATAGCTTTGCATATTCATCAGAATATTTGCGAAATTTCAATTGTACAACATTTAGACACACAAAATATACTAATTACCATAATGGGCATTATATGGTACATGCTAATTTTGCCGACAGATATAAGTAGTATGTAGCAGCAATCAGATGTGGAATGTCTGCCAAGAGAAGATTGAATTGAAGAGGATAGAAAAGGATACAATAAGCCATTGTAATAACAACTGAATTAAGAGAATCATGAGGCACGTAAACCACAATTAAATGATGATGTGCAAATAATGTATTCAATGTGATTTTCCTTCTCCATAAATAAGAGGTAGATATAAGCCTTGTGAATTGAGCTCATCCTATGTCATCCACTCAATTGTCTTTAATTTTGACAGCTTTTGGCGTTTAGATAATGTGATCAGATCGCGAGAAAATTTTTGAAGTTCTGGTGAGAAACCGTGTCTATCTCAGTAAAATGGAAAATGGTCGCGCAATTCCATGGATTGGTTGATGTTGGACACTATCACCATTGGATGCCGGCTTAGTGGTCCAGTACGTTAAGCGTTCGCGTAACCGATTGAAGACCCTAGCTTTGAAACTTCGAGAGCGGCACCGTGGATGCTCACCGCTGAGGAGGCCCACAATAGGACGAAACGGTTGTCCAGTGCTCCCAGGTTTTCAATGATGGTCTAACATCAACCGGTTCGTGATCTCAATCAAAAACTACCAGTCTCCACAACCCCTATACTGATACAAAATTTTATCTCAACTTTGTCATATTGGCGCAACACATTTCGAAAATTCAAACCACACATTTACTTGTTAAGGAGTTCATATTTGAACGAGTTTCGATTAGTAGATAAACGAAAATGTTCAAAGAAAATAAGAAAAGCACTCTGAAACATATCAATCCACTAGATGAATCAATGGTAATAAAATAGGTTGATTGAAAGTACAAATGGATAGTAAACACATAAATCCGGTTCAAATGTTTGTATGGCTAGAGCTACAAAAACCTGATTTTACATCTTGGACACTTTAAAGACAAGGTCACCACACTTGAGTTGAAATCACTATGAAGCTGACTTATTGACAAACTGAGTGGGATTCCAGTCGACTATAGATCCAAAATTAAAGTAGCAAAGGTAGCAAAGTCTTATCATCAATGATTTTTGCGTGTTTACAATAGGGCATAAGGTGATATCACGGCAAAAGAGGGAGAAAACAGTGAAAAATTGACCGATCATCAGAAAAGATGAGTAAAGGTATTATAGGACAATTCACAGTCAATCAATAAATGTTCACAATAACAGAATTTATCTGTTACGATATTAATGTTTGTGAAATTATCAGTGATTCACGCATCTACTTATAAGCATTCAGTAGTATCAATTATATGTGCTAAATAAATAATCAGGGAATTTGTTTCATGTGCAGTATTATTGTATAAAATTAGTTTTAATTTTTTAACTTTCTTTTGTCTTTAATTTAATTTCTCATGTTTTGTGTAATACTCATCACAAGATCCTCCAGTTTGTAGACGTGTAAGTGAAAAGGTTTTGCATTATATCGCATGTCAGTTCGATTTGATAAACTTGACCGTAATTTACAGAACGAACTGTTAGAACATAACCTCAAACATTTTGAATTATAGCAGATATCAGTTGATGTTCAAAACACAATGGGATGATAACCTAAAGTCACAAAACGAACACAACTCCTAACATTTATTTATACATAAGCCTATGTAAACACGACTACTTCCATTTACCTTACACGATAATATGATATGTAAACGTATAATTAATACAAACAAAGTTGTTCGATTACGGTTATTAAATTTCGCTTTATTGTGACGGATTTGTAACCAAACAACGCTTCCAGAATGGCTATTAAATCACTCTAGGTTGTCAGCAGTGTACAGTTTTGCAAATAAAATGAGCTGTCCTATACTGAATATCTACTATAACATGAACATGCAGTTCAAACAATAAATGTGCCGTTTATTTCACTGTGAAATCAACTGTCTAACGATCAAACACTCTCCCAAATTACACTACCATTATCAAACATGAGATCACACTTCATTTGATGATAAACGTACAGAATAAACTGTACATGCAGTCGTTACATGAAGTATACAAGAGAAAGAGAAAAGTGTATCGGCTTTCTGAATACATCACAGTTTGATATGGAATACAACAAATACAACTAGTGTTCTCCAATGATCGGTCGTCAATGAAAGAGTTCAACTTTTTCTCAGATCAATTATTGGATCTTCAAGTATCAAATGTTCTTCATGTGTACTATATTAAGGACTATCGCACAACCAGAAAACAAATCATTAGTCTTCATTGATTTTCAAATAGATAACAGTTTGTGATTAAGAACTGGACACATAATGTTCTGTGGTCATATTGTCCATGGTAAACAGTGTTCAATTTTGCTTGTTTAGTAATGTTTGTAAGTGGTTGTAAATATGATAAGGGAACATCGAATAGATGAATGAATACAAATGATTAGTGATTAGAAACTAGAGATACAACTAATATGAGAAAACGACCAACATATAGATGTTTCAGTAAACAAGACAAATCTTAACAAATGGAATGTTTCGGTTTTCCTTTGAAGTTCTATGTTAACACAACTGGATTCAATGAATTGTATGATTCACAGATTTACAAGGGTCATAAACAATAGTAACTAATGTTATGCAACATTCTTCCATTCATCAAAGAAATTTTCCATCAAGTCTCACTAAATATTACCATATAGTTCACTTCATCTCACAAACAATATGATAATCGTTGATTTATCAACTCATGTATCGAAACACTAAACACTAACGAAATGGTGAATCTCAGCATTAATAAATACACATCGACACCATATGTGAGAATTATCCTTAAAAGCCAATGGCATTCGATCACACAGAATTATTGCACATATTCAACTGAACAATTCTATACCAGACAATACATCTACACACAACACGTCCATGCAAATTCGCTCTTTCACAAACAGATAAACATCATGAAAGGCAGAAAGATTGTTGAGAATGAACTAACTCATGACAGGACTGTTGGCAATCACACAACTAACCAGATCTATACACATGTTAAGGATTTCGATTGATCGATTGACTGATCAGTTAGTTAGTGAAAGCATGAAGTTTACAACTAACTAATTGAAAACTGTTACTAAAACTGCACATTGATTGGTTAATTATAACATGAAATTTACATTTGCATTAACATGACAGATATTTGCTAACAATAATGAATCATCAATTCACAATTAACATGATGAATTCATCAAAAACGATGACACGATTGACGATCTATAATATTTGAAAGAAGTAAGAGATAAGAGACTTCCTCATGAATTGAAACATCGACTGAACGTCCATACAAATTACACACATATCAAAGTCTCCAATCTGAAAACAAGAACACACTCATTCAAATTTACTAATTGAAATCCTTCAGTGAATACCTGATCAATATTCTATTACTCAAATATATTGTTAATCATATTTATTATATTCCACTATTCCAGCATGATTATGTAGATGTTAGTGATCAATTTGGACTTACATCATTCATGTAAGTGTTAGAATGTATTTTCCTCGAATGAAAATAGGGCAAAATTGATTTACAATTCAATGGTATTTTGATTCATCTAGATAATTTGAACACGGTCAAACAAATAAATGGATAGCATTTCACACATCGGAATAAGGTCAAACAGATTGCATTCGATCTGAAGCAAATGGAGTATTTAGAATGAAAGTGTCTATAAGCAATTGTATGTATGTATGTCAATGCCACTGTCTACATGTCGATGTGAGCTCGACAATGAAACATCAACTATTGACTAAATGGAACAGATTAGAGACGATTGTTTTACTGATTCTGTGTCACAATCTCAAAGTGAAGATATTGATGAGGACAACACACAGTTGAGAAGATGAAAGACAATTTGTATGGTTATATATATACATTGATTATGTTTAGGATCTGTTTGTTGAATGTTAGGAACACGTACAATATTTATTTTCATCGACAATGTCCTCCCGTCGACAGCGTGCTTATAGCTGTTTTGCATTAACGAACAGAACTTCTATATATATGAAGACCTCTGACGTAATGCTAATGATTCGCTGATATGATGGATGGAGCTCGGTGATCTGGATCTGGTCTACCATTCATATTCAATTAGTGGAGATGTTGTATTTAATTCATAATCCATGCACATATTTGTCATTTAGATTCATCTCAATATAAATTGAATGGAATAAATGCAATTTTTTATTATCCTGTTTACTTACTTAGACGATTGTTTATCTACCACGATTCACAGTTTATACTGTAATCTATTATGAATTATGTGACATTAAATAGAGAATGTGTTTCAATTTATCATTTCTATCCTGTCATAACAATGATAATAATAATAGTAATAGTGATCATAACGATCGGTCATCATGAGCTTGCACTTAATGCATTTCGATGACGTAATGGTCATGTAGATGATAATGATAATGAATACTTTATGCAATATCTTCTAGTGATTTTGCATCATAAACAAAATTGATCATTGATTCATGAGATCAGTCAACAACTGTGAGGCGAATTCACACTCATGAAATGATAATTATTATTCTCATGCACTAAATAAGTGGAAAAATGACTGAGTTGGTTGAGTACTTCACACACACTCTATAACAATTGAAAACGTACTGGATCACTTCAACTGAAACGTAAATTCTGACGATGACTTCTGATAAGATGAATAGGTCAAACTGAGAATTGCTGATAGACACTTTCATTCTAAATACTCCATTTCCTTCAGATCGAATGCAATCTGTTTGACCTTATTCCGATGTGTGAAATGCTACCCACTTATTTGTTGTAAACTTTGACCGTGTTCAAATTATCTAGATGAATCAAAATATCATTGTATTGTAAGTCAATTGTGCCCTATTTTCATTCGAGGAAAATACATTCTAACACTTACATGAATGATGTAAGTCCAAATTGATCACTAACATCTACATAATCATGCTGGAATAGTGGAATAGAATAAATATGATTAACAATATATTTGAGTAATAAAATATTGATCAGGTATTCACTGAAGGATTTCAATTGGTAAATTTGAATGAGTGTGTTCTTGTTTTCAGATTGGAGACTTTGATATGTGTGTAATTTGTATGGACGTTCAGTTGATGTTTCAATTCATGAAGAAGTCTCTTACCTCTTACTTCTTTCAAATATTTGAGATCGTCAATCGTGACATCGTATTTGATAAATAACTGATGACGAAATCTCACTTCTTATGATTTTTTTATATTTGTAGATTTAAATTGTGTTATCCAATCTCATTGATCTGACTATTTCACCCATTTATTCTCTTCAACAATGTGTTTCATATGATGAAAGAGACGAGCATGTTTTGATTGGTGAATGCAGTTGATACATTCCAATCCTCCTCCTCCTCCTCCTCCCTACCGTCCACTGTTATTCTCTTAATCATGGTTGTCGTGAATTGTACCACTCATAAATTCACTTCACAAATACATCGTATTCATCATTCCACTTGTAAAGTTAATCTTGTCTAAGCATTGTGCAATACATCAAGTATGGTGTATGTTTCACATGTGATAAATTCATCATGTTAATTGTGAATTGATGATTCACTGTTGTTAGCAAATTTTCATTCATAACATTTGAACGGATTAATATTTTTCAAAGGGGCGTACTTTGTCTTACTTATCTAATTGAATGCTATTCAATCATGTATAATGTGTACACGTACATGGAGATTTGTTTTTGACGATTTACACCTGCTCTTACTCGCCATTGTATGTTGTGACAGATTTTCAGTTTCTATCTATTTTAGTGAAGTTAAACGATTTTAAATATTGCAGCGCATCGAAAATAAATGCTCTCCAACCAGAAATAGAATAAGGCGGTTTTCAACGTACCTCCGAATAGCATGTGCCTTTTAACTCACCACTATACTCTAGACAAAGAAGACGACGTCAGGCATTTACGCACGCTACTTTTTCAAATGAATTGGTAATTCAAGTCTACATATTGCCTCTGCCGATCCGTAGTTTGGATCCATACAGTAAATAGTGAACTTATTGTGTATCGCGAGTTGTCTACTATAATTTCAAACGATTGACCAGCTTCAGATATCCCAGTTCGACTTCAATACTGTTCCCAATCTTCAATATATCAGAACACGAAACGTAGAAGAAAAATTGTTTATGGAGTCAGGAGCCGAATAAGGATATACAAACAAATGCATATTTATACAGTTGGGATTACTATAAATATTGACCAACAGAAAGATAACACGTGAAATAATATTGACCAATGGGGAAATGACACGCGAAATAAATATTGATTAGTAGGGAAACGACCAATAGGTAAATGACACAACTAACGTTCAAGGGTAGCATTATACTTAACCGGATGATTGTTTTTGTGATATTTTTCTGAATATCCCGACACGTCCCCTTGGAAAAGTTAATAGCGACGTAATCGGGGATTTACTTGAAGTTTCTTTGGGTGTCTTCTTTTGCGATCCGACCTCCGAGGCAACCACACAGAACCAGAAGGATATTCTACTTGAGTAGATGACTTAGTCGTCTCTGTTGGAGGTATTGGTGGAAGTTGAAACGTGTCCAACAGCAAGTCGAGTGGAACGCTTTTTGTAATTGCTTCTTTCTCCTTCGCTTCCCTTGGCCTGACTTGATTGTGGTGCCTGGTCCAGATTTCTTGGTTCACTTTGACATCATACATGACGTCCCCATGTTTCTTTGTGATTTCACCCTCTATCCATCTATCACATCCGTGTCTATAGTCTCGCGCATACACTTTTGTACCAACTTCGTAGGGAATTCGAGTATTCTTCATCTGGGGGTTTTGTTGCGCCACTTGCTTAGGTTTCATCGCACAATGAACTGTTCGTACCTTTCGCCCCATAAGCATCTCAGCAGGGGATTCGGAGTTTGGCAATAAGTCATGCGGGGTCGTCCGGTACGCAACTAGGAATCGTTCTATGTTATCTTCTGTGGTCCCCTCTCCTCGTGATTTAAGCATGGCTCGTTTAAATGTATCAACGAACCTTTCAGCTTGTCCATTAGACTACGGGTGATATGGCGGAGAACGGACATGGCTGATCAAATTTTGCAGGCAAAATTCTCGGAATTGGCTAGATGTGAATTGTGAACCATTGTCTGTTACTATTGTTTCTGGAAGGCCATGCTGGGCGAAGATCCGATTAAGGAGTTTGATGGTTCGAGTTAAAGAGGATGGCGCAATTGGCAATATCTCCGGCCATTCGGAGTAGGAGTCAACCAGTATCAGATATGTGGTACCGTCTAGGGGTCCGATGAAGTCAATATGCACTCGCGACCAGGGTTTCTCCGACTTGGGCCAGGGTACTGGAGGCAACTTAGGAGGATTTTTCGCAGCGCTTTGACAATACGAGCATCTTTTGACGAAGTCGACAATCTGCTTGTCAATATTTGGCCAATATGCATAACTGCGAGCGATGGATTTCATACGGTTTATCCCTGGGTGTCCAGAGTGGAATTGGTGTAGGATCTTGGAACGTAGGGTTGTTGGAATTACTACGCAATCACCGAACATTAGACAATCGTTAACAATACAGAGAGCACTGCGACGATTCGCTAGCTGTTGCATATCACCACTCAGCTGCTTAACTGGCCATCTACTCTGAACATAGGTGATTGCTTTTTGGATAATCGGGTCCTCTCTGGTAGCTTCCCGAACATCTTCAGTGGTAACAGGCATTGCTCGAATGGCATTCGCTAATACAGTAGCACCGGAATCCTCTTCGGTTGATACTATGGCTATGAGTGTGTCCTCATCAGTAGTAGAATGGTTACTGATAAGTCTGGACAGTGCATCCGCTTGACCAAAATCTTCGGAACGTCGATACTGGATGTCGAAGTCGTACCCCAATAACGCCATCGCCCAACGTTGAAGAAGGTTAGCAGAATGGGCAGGATTGATAACAAGGGCTTGTGGTCTGTGAGCAAGGTGAAACGGCGTCCGTTAATGAATTCGTGAAATCGCCGGACAGCAAAAATTAGGGCCAACGCTTCCTTCTCTATCTGGCCGTAGCGTTTCTCAGCAGGTGTTAGTGTTCTCGAAGCATGCATCACCGCTTTCTCTGACCCATCGGGAAAGACATGTGAGAGTACGGCACCCAGTCCATGTGTTGAAGCGTCAGCAGCAATCACAATGGGTAGTTTCGGATTGTAGTGGGTTAGCAGAAGATTGGAACTTAGCATGGCTTTAAGTTTTGAAAAGGCTGACTCACATTGCGTTGACCAATTCCAAGTAGCATTCTTATCTAGCAGACGATTCAGTGGATATCGTATGTCATGCATTGATGGAAGAAATACTGAATAGTAGCTAACCATTCCCAAAAATGATCGCGGTGAGGAGACATCAGTGGGAGAAGGCATTTGTTGGATTGCGTAAGTATTTTGAGGATCAGGTTGCCGTCCGGAAGCATCAAAAAGAAACCCCACGTACTTAACGAAACGTAAGAAGAAATGGCATTTTTCTGGGCGAAGGCGGAAACCATTACCCTGGAGGCGTTGCAGAACTAAGTGAGTTCTGGTATTCAATTCATCAACAGTTGAGCCGACAATGAGGTCATCGTCAAGGTACGTAGTAACACCAGGAACATCTGCTAGAATAGTGTCCATGATCTGCTGGAAGATCGCTGGAGCAGTTTTGATATCAAAGGGTAACCAGGTATACTGAATAAGTCCTCGGTGAGTGTTGATTGTCAACAACTCTCTGGATTCTAGAGCGACTGGAATTTGAAGGTAAGTATCTGCCAGATCCAGCTTAGCAAAATAGGTACCACCATTTAAAATAGTAAATAAGTCATCTGGGATCAGCAGCGGATGGTGATGCTGTTGTAGAGCCGCGTTGAGTCCTGTGGAAAAGTCTGTACAGATGCGTATGGAACCATTGGGTTTTTTACAACCACAATTTGTGCAGCCCAAGATGAATAAGAAACAGGTACTAGAACACCCTCAGTTTCCAAACGTTGAAGTTCAGCGTCAACCAGAGGTAAAGATGCGTATGGGACTGGACGCTTTGGGCGAAAAACTGGCGTAGCTGCTGGCTGCAGTCTTAAAACAGCTTCAGTTGTGGTACAAAGTCCGAGACCAGGCTAAAATAATTCAATTAATTTTTTTTCGAAGGTCTTCAGCATGCTCTTGTGTAGCGGCAGTAGTTCGGACTTCATTGCAGATAGCGTTAATAGGAAGATCAGCGAGACCAAGTTCTTCGAACCAATAAAAAAATTGAGCTGAGAATTGGTGATGTAGCATGTCCCATTGAATTTTGTACCTCTGAATGAAATGCAGCAACAGAGTTCACCATGAAGGCGGAGATGACCCCCACAGGCACTGACGGCTGTTTGAGAGGATGGTTGGATGGGAGGTTGACCCAAGGTTCGCCAAGTCTTTTTCGACAGAATGGTGATATCTGATGCAGTGTCCAACTGCAAACGAACTGGCTGACCATTGATTGAGAGGGTCAGAAATTTGCGTCGAGTTGCGGCATGAGTATGGAAGACTGTTGCTAAACTCCTTGATGAGGTATTCAGCTTTTTGTGAAAACGACGCTGCGTCTGTGAATTTCGACGGTTATTGGATCGATTGGATTTGCAAAAGCCGCTTTTGTGACCAACTTTCTGACAACGATCGCACACATGCTGTTTGAATGGACAAAGCTTCACATAATGCCAGGCTCCACAGTGCCAACATGGAGAGGGAGGCTTCTTCTGAGCCGGTTTAGAGTGATTAGAGACAGAAACAGCGCTGTCTTTCGAAAGACTCGAGGTCGTCGATTTCGAAGATTTTTTTTGGTGCTGAACAGCATGAACTTTGGAACCACCCTGGCCACCAGATTGAACCAAAGTGGTGTCACGCTGCAGATTGATAATGCGCTGGTACTCGTCTATGATCGCATTGAGTGTCAGTGTTGGATCTTGTTCAAGGCGGTTAAGCAAACGAGTTCTGATGTCGGAGAATTTGGGTGACTGAAGACTGCATATGAGTATTAGGGACTTGAATTGGTCTTTAGTGAGGGATCTGAGCTTGAACCGTTCGCACTCACGGTTAACAACGTCGACTTGGGTCAGGAAGTCATCGGACTCATTCATGATCAGTTTTAAGCAGCGATATCGAGTACTGAAGAGTGAGTGATGATCACCAAAAAGTTGGCTAAGGGACTGAATAGTGGCGTCGAATGAACGTTCGCGTGGGTTCTGCGGTAGAATAAAGTTGCAGCACTTATCCAGCTCGGATAGACCAAGTTTACGAAGCAGGAGACGCACCTTCCACGAATCATCTCTGTCAGCAAAGTCAACTTTGAAAAGGTCTTCATAACGTCTGAATCAGGTATCAAATGTAATGTTGGCATCAGGATCATAAAGAAATTCTGAAATACCACTGGTAATACCATCAACTGATTCAGGAATTGTCGGTGTAGTTGGAACTCGAGAAGATATGTGCGTGTGAGCAATCATCTCCATCAGCTTCAACTGTTGTTCGAACAATTTTTCTAATTTGGCTGGATCCACAGTTAATCACCAACTTCTTTGCTAAATCTCCGTCGCCAAATTATTGTGTATCGCCTGTTGGCTACTCTAATTTCTACCGATTGGCCAGCTTCAGATATCCCAGTTCGACTTCAATACTGTTCCCAATCTTCAATATATCAGAACACGAAACGTAGAAGAAAAATTGTTTATGGAGTCAGGAGCCGAATAAGGATATACAAACAAATGCATATTTATACAGTTGGGATTACTATAAATATTGACCAACAGAAAGATAACACGTGAAATAATATTGACCAATGGGGAAATGACACGCGAAATAAATATTGATTAGTAGGGAAACGACCAATAGGTAAATGACACCACTAACGTTCAAGGGTAGCATTATACTTAACCGGATGATTGTTTTTGGTATATTTTTTTGAATATCTCAACAGAACTAGGGATTGCCACAATTCAGATAATGCTCAACCATCCTTACAAAGAATATATTTTTGTAAAACCTTCGAAACAATGAGCGCTTTTTAAAATGGACCGTGGTATTTTTCTTCTGAAAATATTCCATAGTACCGATCGTTTAATTACGCAGCAAGACTACCGCTTTTGCTTAATTTATTTTAGCTAAAGTAGTCTACAAGAGTATAGCTTTCTTTCTTTAATAATTTATCACATGTGCTCCTTAAGTACAAATACGTGTAGCGTGGCGTCAAGTCCCAGTTGACTATGAACACCACTACAAAGAAACGCGTGTCAGGATATCCATAAAATTCCCCGGAAGCCAAATATCAGAAGTCAGTTAATGAACCAAGTCGAGATATATTTGCTGGCGATCTCGTGGTGTCAAAAGAATACCGAGATCGTGCCAGGATACAAACATGGTTACTGTGCGTAACCAGATTCGTGCGAGGTTACAATCGAAGTAAGTATAATGGATGTTTTTAACACAGTTAAACAAAGAGCACATTTAACAGTCTTAAGTACAATTGGTTATACTAATAATTGTTTTCATTAAACCAATCATGTTCTCGTGATAAAAGTAAGTCACTACATACTAAAAGGGGTACTTGTTTTTTCTCCCTCGTCGAATACATCTTTTCGTATTGTTTGTATCCAAAAGTTTTAAGGTCTTTTTGTATCTACTTAAGTCGAATTTGTTAATGTTGTCAGTTTAAGTAATATTCAAACATATTTTTTTGTTTTTCTTCAGTATCTATCACCTATCAACCCTTAAAAGAAACTTATTCTAAAGATCAGTTTTTGCTGTTGTTCTTTCCGTGAGATCCCAAACAATTTTATGGTGCAAGTAAAACATCGTTGTGGCAGATCTGCATGTCATTTCACTGTGGTTGATGGTATGTGTTGTAACAACTAGGATACGTTTAATCACAATGTGTGCATCGGACTCACACTGGCCGCATATAAAATATGCTGCAAGTCAATATCCTGTTTACTGTGCAAAGCATGATGTTCTACAAAGTCTCTGTTGATTCATGAGGCGATTGAGCTGTTGAGATTGGCTAGAAAATCACCCTTAGATAAACAGGCAGCAGTAAATTGGCGGAATTCCGTTTCTGAGGGAACAGTGAGCGTTATCGTGAGCCCAGACTTGGATTTGAATGACACCGTCAAGGTTGACCCGATTAGAGAAACGGATAACAAGCACACAAATGTAGGCACGTTGCAATAAATAAGAAAAGCACGTCGAGGAGGAACAAGTTATACACAGCAGTCAGACATGTGAATCTACAGTTTTGTCTCCAGATTTACATATCAACGAAACAAACCATAGGAGAGCAAAGCCTGAACGGTGTAAATGTTGTGATTAGGTGACATAATAGGATAAATGATCGCATTACAGTCACACCCATAAAAAGAAAAGTAAGGAAACAGAGTAAGACCTCTGTGTTTACCCCGAAATGGACAGCAGGGATGATAATCCAAGATCTTAAATTCCACAGCGCATTGAGACTGACTTCACTGACAGGTCAATCATTTTTTCTTATTTAAGAGAATCTTCCGATAAGCAACCAAAGCTAGGTTTGAGCACGACCCCAGCCTCATTAAATCATTATCGTGCAAGGAACTCTCAGAAACAGCTTCAGAAGTTAGCATCTGTAAGCTTTATTGAATGAGAAAGAAGGTGGATCCTGAAAGTACTCAGAAAAGCCTCTTCTTAGAAGTGACCTTTGCTTCGTCTGAAGAAAGATATCAAATATGGGAAAACTCAGGCAAATTGACTGGATCCGGAATATACATCAGTGAGAATCTTAGCCTGGTTGAACATAATGAAAGATGATAGGCAGAAGTAGAAATAAATAAGAGTAGCAGAAATGGTGAGAAAAGCTCGAGTTTAGGGGTTTTCAGATTGCAAATGTTTGGAGCATAACGATTCTTAAACCACTCTGGATGGTAACGGAAAGTTCACCACAGAAATAAAGGCGGGCTAAACAAGAGCTCGCGGTCTATAAAATAAGATTTCTGAGCTCAAAAAACGTTGATTGTAGAAGACCGGGAAGTCAATTCAAAAATTTTGGTTAAATGATAAACAGTACCTTTGCTTTGTATCACTACGTGACTGCAATATTATTCGTCAGGATCTACCGAGCGATAAATTAGAGGTCTCGCGGCTGTGTAGTCACGGTTTAAATTTGAACTGGCTTCGTTCTCTTTTTGCACTCGACATATACTCTCACAATTTGTCAATTCCTAAATGTTACCTATTATTCTTTACCGTTTTCCGTTACTCTTTCTTGAACTTTTGAGGTAAGACTTTGCTGTATTGCGGAGAGTGCTAAGGGCAGTTATGGAAGTGTGTGGTCAGTCTTTCGAAGCATTTATTATTATTATGGTGGACAAACATCTTAAGTCGTACAAACTCTTGACAGGTATTATCTTGTCAGATTCTAACCATCTTTTTTATATTTTCTGGTAAAATGAGACTCAAGTACATTAAAATTCATTCACTTATGCAAAGGCGTAATCGTTCTATAATACCTTATCTAGCAAATATACTCTGTGACGAACAAGTTGTTAGAGTAAGATTACTCAATAATCTGTATTCTTCAACATATTTCCAGTTTGAAATGTTGTACAGATCTCGATAACTTTTCAAATTTTCCTGTTCTTTTTTTGTTGTTGTTTCTTGTTTTTGCGAAAACACTTGTTGAAATGCCATGTGCTGAGAATACTATATTGTATCAAAATATAATATTGAATAAAACCATTACTAACAAATACTAAATAGAAACTAATGCGTACTTCGATCTAGAAGATCTAATTAAAGCCCTTAGCACTTTCAACACGGAAAAGTCAACAGGTCAGGATAGGCTACAATAAAAAATCCTAAGACAATTTGTACATTATATTGCAGCCACACTGGCTGTGACATTCAATATGTCACTTGGTCATTTGGTCACTTAGTGAATTACCTACGGATTGGAAATATGCAGTTGCTACAACACAAAAAACAGGACCAAGACGTCCGACTAACTACAGACCTGTCAATCTCAACAATGTTGGAGTTAAAATATCGGAAAAAGTATTCAAAAAGATCATAATGACATTCATGTAAGCAAACAACTTGTTAGACAGCGAACAGCATGGTTTCAGAAAAGGTCGATTTTGCGAGCAATGCATAAAAACTCTAGACAGTGAAAAAATAGTAGATGGTGTCCACATAGACTTTGACAAAGCATTTGATAAGGTGCCGACAAATAGACTGCTGTTACTAACTTGCTTACTTACGTCCGTTATTCCCAATGGAGCATAGAACGCCGATCAGCATTCTTCAACTCGATCTGTCCTTAGGCTTGCATTCTTGTTCTATCCAATTTTTTCATTCTTCTCAGGTCTATCGCCATTTCGCGAAGTAATGTGTTCTTCAGTCTTCCTGTTCTTTTTTGGACTCGAGAATTCCATGTGATAATGGCTTGCTTTGTTAATTGCCTTGGGTGCTTTTGTAGCGACCTACTTTTATCAAGTGAACGCGATTGGGTTAGTGAAAACAATCATTATTATAACCGATTTTACCAGTGATTGTTTTACTGCGCTCGTTTGTTTAGCTGTGCTAAAGACAGCCATATTACTCCTCCATTATTCTCCTTTACTTTTCTGCGGATTGTGACCTCGTAGGTTCGTACTTTCGCCTGCTGATTTCACTTGTACTCCTTTTGGCACGATCTCGGTATTCGTCGGACATCACGAGATCACCAACGAAATAAACTTGGTTACACCTAGTTTGTTTACATTAGCCATGTTTTCCTACAATTAAGATGGAAGTATAAACGTTGGTGCATAAGAGGTATGAAACAACCTAAATAATAATAAATACTACTACAAGCTAATAAATAAAACATGAAAGTTCATAAAAAACTGTCTTGCTGATTGTTACGGGAGAACTGAAGACATTTGACTGATTTAAACCTTTTTATTGTATATGATTAGTTTTTCACTGTGTTTTTGGATGTATTTATTTTACATAACTTCTGAACAGGTTTGTTTATTATCATTATTTTTGGACATTTTGGTTTCTGTTTGTCTTTGAGAGTTTTACCCCTGGAACCTACAAAATTGATGGTTTGTTTTGTAATCTTTATAATTATTGTTTTCAGGACGACATTTGGGTCGACTATTTGTGAATTACGAATAAACGTTGGTACTTAAATTGGAGTTTTGTTATTTTATTGATTTAGGTTCGTAAATTGCAAATAGATCGATATACTGGACTTCAATAACGGGAACCAGCAAAACCTGGACGTAACACTGATGACAAGGGATATGATCAATGTTTTGTCTCCACACAATTAAGAATAGCGAACAATAAATTAGACTAGAATAATATTTTGTGGCCAATATTTAATATAGTTCTGACGAAACAATCGAAAACCATGCCGTTTTGTACTAGTTTGATGAAATCCTTTATGAAATAATCGGAAATATATTCTACTCATATTGTTTAAACTTGATCATCAAAAGGTATTGGTAACAATAGGCATTGAGAACATCGAATAACAAATTTTCCAGATGTTTATATTTCGTAAACCAATTCAGTTAGATACGATATCAAACGTGTGAATTGTATTTGAAAACGAGTGATGCTCCAGTTATTTAGTGAGATGGAGAAACTAGCTGAGTGATTGTGACAACAACTAAAATTGATGAGCATGCAGCAACATACACCGACTTAAAAAAAGACAGGCATACAAACAAATAAATGACTCAGAAACAATCAAAAGGTCTGCTCTATACGAAATGTAGAAAAATTAGTGTGTGTTTAACAACTGGGTAATGCAAGTATAATTAAATGTTGAAAATGTGGCTGTGCTCTGTTTAGCCCAACCCAGCATTTCAAAACATTTAGCATTGGTGATGCGATATTATGATCACTACTTCTGATATAATGAATAGACATCAACGATCGACAAGTAAGAAGAGTTTTGTTAACAAGATGATCAACGATGTGCATAAGTAAGACGTTCAATGAAAACTTGATATTCCATTAATGTCTAGGCATCCTAAATTCATTTCGTTCAAAACACAGTCTATGTCAGTTAATGTGCTAAAATCATATGTGACATTTTTATGGCTTTTCACCTATCCAGGCAAACATCTGCATCTCCAAAAGCTACTGTTCATATATGTCACATCAAAACTCAGTCTCACATGGTATTGACAGTTTTATAACTGATGATATACAGCAAAATATCTCAACACGAATTTGTCCATATTGAAACAAATTGAAACGAGTTTATCCATTTTTTTTAATTTTGATGAATACACTGTGACTGTTGCATTGAAAGTAAATATGATTACTGCCAACTAATAGTAAACCAATTAAGTCCACTAATTTTTCAGATTTTGGACATACTTCGAAACATGACCCTCCATGTTTATCTGAGAATGAATCTTACCCATTCCTTAGACATGTTGTTGAACATCTTGGGAGATTTTGTAACTTTAACTCACCTGTTAAATAAAACTGAACCTGGTAAATGAGTACTTTAAAGTTAATCATTTTAAGTTCGATCTCTGTGTTTACAAGTGATATGTCAAATCTAAATAAAAATAATTTATCTGTAATATCCCAATGAGTGGAAAATTGGATTTTCTGACGTTTCGTGACTTAGTGTAAGTCACTTCTTCAGAGAATAAATAACCAAATTAAAATTCATCCAAGTTTAATTTGGTTATTTGTTCTCTGAAGAAGTGACTTACACTAAGTCACGAAACGTCGGAAAATCCAATTTTCTACTCATTGGGATATTACAAGTATATTATTTTTATTTATAACAATCAACTCAATGCTCAATTTATTCGAAATTATCAAATCAAACCTTGGTAATGACACCTACGATATGTCAAATGGTTTAGTTAACTGTCAATAAAACAACCTATCCCTATGTGAGGGAGTCAAATATGACAAATGACTGTTTCCAATCTGTTCACGTTTCTACTTATGGTGCAGATACTTGCGATTTACGTTACTTTTCCGTTTGAGAGTTCCATTCCAAATATTCTTTGTTAGTTTTGAAACTGTACTGCATACATGACATGTTTACTCACAATCGACATCCTCAATAATAATGCAACAGGTTTCTGAATGCATCATTTTCACAGGTGTTCAATCACACACTCTTAACCGTTTTCCATAATATGATACCATGCTACTCAGTTTTCATTCATATTATAAGCATTTATGTTCTCACTTGCTCTACAATTCAAGTGAAAATGCATCGCACCCGTCGCCATTAGGCCACAAATTTTCATACCATTCTTTAAGATGACAGAGATTGGTTAATTTGCTCAAAATCAAGCGTCAAAATTGCTCTAATTACGAAATGTGAAACGTCTGCTTATAAATATATTACGACTTATAATTAAGATCGTCTTTCATCTGAAAATCAGCTTTAGGGAAAATATCTTCACTCCTTATCTTAAAGCTTCTCCGTGAATTTCCCTCCAATATCATCATTGAAATGTATACTTTACACTGTATACTAGTGCTATCTTCATTTTTCATGATGATTTCATTACGTCAAACTGTGTACAGTAACTTCACTGATATGAAATGATAATCGAATTATTATGAAACAACTTACGCATCTCAATAATGGTCACACATGTTCTTCACTGCCATCATTTGTAGCAGGTTTCAACTTCACTATATTATACATCAACAAATATATGTTGACCAATTGAAAATTGTTTTCACTAGTTTTATTCTGAGATATCTGTGGACCTACTGCCATAAGAAACGTGAACATTTACTTCGTCGAATGGATAATATCCACTGAAGTCTTTATATTATATCATAAAACGATTTCTAATCATAATATGAAGGTGAAAATAGATGGCTATATAGAGCTGTAGGTCTCAAATGGGGCTGGAGGTTCGCCATTGTTATTGTGGACGGTTCGGCATTGCTTTGGCAAGTTTTGCTGACTGTTCATGCAAAAAATTGGTTTGCTGGTTAACTGATTTCATTCATACTGGTGGTTGCTTTTCAGTGTTCCCGAGGGCCATTGTTATTGGGACATTTGAGGCATGGGGCCATTGCTAACATTAATGAGTTTGACTGTCGTGTAAGCGGAATAGGTCAACTTTGGCCTGTTCGTACTGTGCATAATTGATTCACGCGATCATTGATCGGAATAATTATACATGTGATGTGAATGTGTATATGAATGGTGCGAATGGTTCAACAGGGTTGATGATACCTGTGTGGTTGCGCAACAGGATTGAGCTGTACTATTCAGATTGTAGCGTTAAAGTCTGTACGGTGTCTGGTTCCCCTGCTAAACGGGGTTGAGCTGTACTGTTTGGGTTTTTGCGTGAAAGTCCGGATGGTGTGTGGTTCTCCTGAAAACCAATGTAAAATTACCCTGGCGCATAAGGGTATATTATATTACTGTGATTATTACTGAAAATAGATGACCTGCAATAAAAAGTTTTGTGTTTTTCATACATCACATAGAATAATTAAACAGAAAATTGAGAATAATTTTCACCGAATATCTATATGAAATATCCTATTCCATGTACAGATAACGATACTTTAAAATTCATGTTAATTTCTGTTATTTATGTGAGTGATAACACACAAGTTTTGAACATCACACATGTGTGGATGTTTCGTGTTACTGGTCAACCATTTGTTATTTGGCAAGTTTTGCTGACTGTTCATGCAAAAAATTGGTTTGCTGGTTAACTGATTTCATTCATACTGGTGGTTGCTTTTCAGTGTTCCCGAGGACCATAGTCATTGGGACATTGTGAGGCATGGCGCCATTGCTAACATTAATGAGTTCGACTGTCGTGTAAGCGGAATAAGTCAACTTTGGTCTGTTCGTGCTGTGCATAAGTGATTCACGCGATCATTTATCGGAATAACCATACATGTGATGTACCCTTTCTCTTTCTCCTGGTGATAGACTGGATCATGAAGACGTCACTATCTGAAGGGAAGCGAGGGATACAATGGACATCTAAGATGCAGTTGGATGATCTAGACCTCGCAGACGATCTGGCCCTTCTATCCCAAACACAACAACAGATGCAGGAAAAGACGAACAGAATGGCAGCAGCATCAGCAGCAGTGGGTCTCAATATACACAAACGGAAGAGCAAGATTCTCCGATACAACACAGAATGCACCAATCCAATCACAATTGACGGAGAAGATTTGGAAGATGTACAAACCTTTACGTATTTGGGCAGCATCATTGATGTACAGAGTGGATCTGATGCAGATGTGAAGGCGCGGATCGGTAAAGCAAGAGCGGCATATTTACAACTGAGGAACATCTGGAACTCAAAGCAACTGTCAACCAACACCAAGGTCAGGATTTTTAATACAAATGTCAAGACAGTTCTACTGTATGGAGCGGAAACCTGGAGAACTACGAAAGCCATCGTCTAGAAGATACAGGTATTTTTTAACAGTTGTCTACGCAAAATGCTTCGGATCCGTTTGCCAGACACTATTAGCAACAACCAACTGCTGGAAAGAACAAACCAGATCCCAGAGGATTGAGAATTTAAGAAGAGGCGCTGAAAGTGGATAGTACACACATTAAGGAAAGTATCCAACTGCGTCACAAGACAATTATTATTATTATTATTATTATTATTATTATTATTATTATTATTAATGGCTTTATTCAATATTATAGTTTTGGTACAAAATAGAATTCTCAGCACAGGGTATTTCAACAAGTTACTTACTGAAAAAAAAACGAACAAATAGGCAGTAGCAAATACAAAAAAGAAATTTTTTAAAAAAAAAAAAAAATTTTTTTTAAATAAATTTTAAAAAAAAGACCAAAAAAAAACTGTGCAAAACTTTTTAAAATTAAAGACATGTTAAGAATGTAAATTATTAACTAGGTTATTTCTAACAACCTGTTCGTCACATAGTATATTTGCTAGGTAAGGTATTATAGAACTTTTATACTTTTCCTTACGTGCATGGATTTTAATGTAATTACGTCTCGTTCTACCAGAAGATATACAAGGAGAAAGATAAGAGTGAAGGGGATGGCTAGTATCTGATAAAATAGCACCTGCCAGGAGTTTGCATGATTTTAAATGTCTATCCACAACCATATTAATTATGGCCTCGAAAGATTCACCACACATCTTGCTAACTGCCTTCAGCACTCTTCGCAATACAGCAAAGTCTTTTCTCAAAAGCCCGGGAAAGAATAATGGAGAACAGTAAAGAATAATAGGTAAAATGCAAGAATTGACAAATTGTAAGAGTAAATGACGAGTAATCCCAAGAGCATGCAATCTCTTTATGTAGTAGGTCAGACGGAAAACCTTCTTCGATAACGATAAAACGTGGGAAGACCAAGACAGATCAGAGGAAAAGGTGACACCAAGATAATTGACCTTCGACACTGAGTTTATGAAAGAGTCTCCGATGGCACAAGCATTATGGGATCTCAAAATGGTGTTTATATTCCGTTCATGTCTCATGCTAAAGTTAACAGC